CCCCAGAATTCCCTAGCATGCTGGGTGCAGAACCCCCAGAATTCCCTAGCACGCTGATGGGTGAATTCTGGAAGCTGAAGTCCACGCTTCTTAAAGTTGCCAAGGTTGAGAAACACTCTTCAGAAATTGTGTCCTGATCAAGTAGAGGGAGAAACCTAAAACCTTGTCACACAGGCGATCGAGAAGGGAGAAGAGTGTTGAGGAAACTCATATTTTTTCTCTCCCAACATTTCTTACGGTGCTAATTTTGAAAAAGGAGCTTCTTTCATCAAATACATACTGGACTTCTGGATATATGTGTGGCCCAAACAATTCTTAATACTATCCAAGCAGCAGATGAAATCTTTGGGGGTAGAAACATTTTCCAATCCAGCCTTAATAGGAGCATTTCTGTCTTTTCCAATAGTTAACTAAATTGACTTCGCTACAGTATCATATGAAAACTAGTGATGGGCTTCACACATTTTCCTACACCTTAATGTGGTTTATTTGGTTGCAGTTTGTAAGCCATGATATATGGTATGATTGCAGCCTTGTTCTTCTTTATCCACTCTCTGAATTCTTCCAGAGAGTCGATAAAGTTGGGAAATCGAATCTGGAGATTTGATCCGATCACCTTCAGATCAAATCGGGGAGCTGAATCTTTGCACTGCTTTCACTTCTGCCCTTCTTGTTCCCAGGACCAGTTGCAGAAATGGATCCGGGGGAACGTGAGCGCGTGTGCGAAGTCCATCTTCATCTTCGATGAAATGGATAAGTTGCACCCGGGGCTGATTGACGCCATCAAACCCTTCCTTGATTACTACGAGCAGATCGACGGTGTGTCGTATCGGAAAGTCATCTTCATTTTCCTCAGGTGCTGGCAGTCTTGAAATTTGAATAAGTTAACCAGGGTTTGCCTTCCTTCCAGCATAAGATGAAACTGTCAAGGTGCTGTAATGGTCTCTGGGAATGACCTTGGGAGACAGGAGGAAGAGCCACAGACTGAACAACTGGTGTGGAAAAGGTATCTCAGCCCCCAGAAGGAAAAGGGGCGTGGGAAGTGCCTCAGAAGGGACCCTCCCTAGTTTTCCGGAGAGTAAAAGGAGAGGGAGGGAGAAGGGCTTGGAGATGGTCTGTGGGAATGACCTTAGGAGACGGAAGGGAGAGCCACAGCCCGGACGATGGGTATGGAAAAGGTGTCTCAGCCCCCAGAAGGAAAAGGGGCGAGGGAAGCATTCCTGAAGGGACCCTCCCTAGTTTTCCAGAGAGTAAAAAGAGGGGGAAGGAGAAGGGATCTCTAATGGTCTGTGGGAATGACCTTGGGAGACAGAAGGAAGAGCCACAGACCAGACAAGGGGCGTGGAAAAGGTGTCTCAGCCCCCAGAAGGAAAAGGGGCATGGGAAGCATTTCAGAAGGGACCCTCCCTAGTTTTCCAGAGAGTAAAAGGAAAGGAGGGGAGAAATACTTCCAGTCTTGCAAGAATCTGTTGATGTAACCTGACAATAAAGATAGAGCTAGGACTCCTGGTTGTGTTTCTTGCCTGGACTACCTCGCAGGGCTACAACGGTTTACTAGTGTGGTTTTAATGAGCTGGCCGTCTCCCTACAAAACTCTCATTGTTTAGCAGATTATTAATACAAATAATAATAGTTATTATTACACAGATCTGGTTTGGGACTGTGATCAGTGGTGAGAAGAAAGAGATTTAAGGCTTAAGCAAGGATCTCTACCATTTTGATAGCCAGGGACCACGCTCTATGTTGCACAGGCAGGGGTTCAACAGGGGTGGGAATGCATCACCTGTGGGATTTTTTCCCCCAGAGGGTTGGGAGGTGGTTTTTTTTTTTAACTCTTAAACTTCAAGAACTCATGCTGCAGACTTTTGACAAACCTATACTGAAATTCAGGGTCAGGGCTGCAGGTGGTAAACTGGAATGGGCTGCTCTGGCACAGAGGCCGCAGGTTGCCGACCTGTGCCTTAAGCGATCGATGGGTAGGATGGAACGTACGTACGTTCGTAAGGCTGATTCTGGTCAACGTCTGCTTTCCAACAGTAATGCAGGAGGCGACTTAATCACAAAAGTTGCGCTCGACTTTTGGAGGAAGGGCCGAGAGAGGGAAGAGATCCGGCTGAAAGATTTGGAGGAGGTCTTGTCCCTGGGGGTTTTCAACAACAGGAACAGTGAGTAGCGATCCCCAAGTCCGTTGTTCTGAGTCCTGCGCTCAGGAACGATCTCGGGTGACCCTGTTTTCCCCTCCCAATTCCTCTACAAAAAGCAGGTTCTTTCAATGCCAAAAATACGGGGTACTTCTAGACGAGTGTTTCTCAACCTTGTCAACTTTAAGATGCCTGGACATCAACTCCCAGCGCTTCCACTTTTCTCGTTTCTGCTCCCCATAGGCGGCCTGTGGCACAGCAGCCTGATTGACCGCAATCTCATCGATTACTTCGTGCCTTTCCTTCCCCTGGAGTACAAGCACGTGAAGATGTGCATCCGGGCAGAGATGAAATCCCGCGGCAGTCCCGTCGACGACGAGATCGTCCAGAAGGTGGCCGACGAGATGACGTTTTTCCCCAAAGACGAGAGGATTTACTCAGACAAAGGGTGTAAAACTGTGCAGACCAAGCTAGACTTCTGTTAAGGGCCGCGGGGCCATATTTCTGTCTTTAAGAGGACCGAAGGGTGGGAAGAAAGTCTTTGCAACCTTTCCCGTTGATGCACTTTTTCTTTTTTTGAAGCAAAAAAGGCAGTCTCTGGATATGCACTTTTTTTTAATGGTTGGAGAGTTTTTTCACAGCCACCGGGGGCTTTAGGGGCCCCGTCCCCTCCTTCCCAGGTGTGGACACCCCCAAAATATAGCTCTGAGCATCTTCCATGGTGCTGGACTTTTTAACACTTGCTAGTGGGAAGTCTCAATCCGCTGGGGGGAAACTGAAAGAAATCCACTCAGTTTTATTACCCCGAACAGCCAGACTGAGCTAAACAGATGCCTGAGCTGAGAAAATGTGAATTAAAACCAGTAAATGTTGTCAGGTTCCTATCCCACCCCCCCAAAAAACCTCTTTGAGAATTTCAGGTCAGAGAAAGGTCAAAACCAGAGTGCCTTCTTAGGTCAGTATCAATGAGTGTCATGTTGGAGAGGTCTCCTAAATTCAGGGTATCTTGCAGGCCAATTGTAGCTAGTTCATAAGCCTCTTGAGATGTTGGAGGAGGGGTGCAGCTGTGCTCAAGGACCCCATCGACTAGGGAAAATAAATTATAAGCCTCTCCTTTACCTAACCATCATTCTTTCCTCTGGACCAAGTTCCCAGTCCTCTTGAGGTTTATACACGTGATGATTTTCCTGTGGGTGGCCTGGAAGAAATCCAGAATTTTATCTGACAGTTGTATCTTCACCGGGTCAGTGATGTGACTTTCTGCGGCCTCGGTTATAAATCCGCTGCCTAAATCGAACTAAATCGGCAAACACTGGGTGTGCAATCTGCTTAGCCATCTTAACACTTTTTATAGAAGTAGCTTTAAAGAAATGTATTTTTTTAATACATGTTTTATATGCAGAACACTAGAGGGACGATATAACTGAATGCAACTAGGGAAAAGAAGGAGAACTATAATAAATAGGCGATGGGAGAAGATTTGGGCTGAATTTTCTTTTTCCAGTTGCTTGTCTATTACAGCCTTCCCCGACCTGCGTTGGAACTACATTTTCCAAAATTCTCTGCTCCTGGAGTTGTAGTCTTAACTGGTCGGACAGATAGAAAGCTGGAGAAGGATGTTATATATTTGTAAGACTTAATTGTGTGTAATCAAGGAATAAGGACCTGGGTCCTCGGAAATGTGTCCTGCTCTTCGGCCAAGTGTGTAACTATTCCAAAACCACAAATGTTTCAGGATGGGTTAAGGGAAGGAGTCAAAATCCTACCAAATTGGAAATTTTTTGACCGGGAGGGGGGGCAGGAGGGAGGTGAATTGCCCAGGGCAAAAAATACTCTGAGTTCAGGGTAAGAACATCAACTCACATTTTCTTCCTTGGCCAAATGTGGTTCTATGGAAAAGGCATCACGTTTTTTGTTCGAAGCTTTGAGGTCGCTGTCAGAAGTGGGGCAATGCATGGGGGGGATTCTGTTTGGGGGCCTTTTGTTTTCCCACAATCAGGACTGGTGAGATGTTGTCTCCTTTGCAGAAGTTTTGGGGAAAAGTTGAAAAACGATTGCATCCGTAACCAGCTTACTGGTCCTCGCTGGGAACCGCGCTGGAAATCTTGAGGTTCCTCGTGCAAGTTTCTATGCTGTTCAAAGCTAGAAATAAATTAAAAAATAAGAGCTGTTAATGTATTCAGCATCTAGGAGCATAAGGTACTGAAGATGACTATTTGGCGTGGAAGATTTGGGGGTAGGGAGTTAAGAGGATTTGACGCTTTAAATAAATTCTCAAGGAATAGCAGTTTTGCAGGGAATGGAAACCTCACGGGGGTTATGGTGAATTTGAATTTTGGACATTTGTTTTAAAAATAGGTGACTGAAACTTTGCTTTTCAGCTCAGCCCAACAGATTGACTGGACCACAGGATACAACAAGCTGGCTTGGGATTATGGAAGCTGTAGTCCAACCCATCCAGAGGTTGTGAGTTGGGAAAGGCTGTTGTGTCCTGCTTTTCCTCCCCATAAATAAGGTTGGTGGGTTGGTTTAAACCATCTGGAGCAGTCCAGAATTGTAAGCTGGATCAGTGGATTGCTTCAAATGCAGGAGAAGCGTCAAGGACAACGTTTCACTGTGAGAAGCTGTAATTAACAGCTTTTCTAGTTCCCTGCTGAGAAAAGTCCCCTTTAAAATTATCGTTTCTTGTAGCTACCATTAAGTGCCAAGATGCTCAATGATAAATCTAGTTTGTAGGAGTTTAAGAGCTTTGAGTTTATTGAAAAAGGCGTGTTTCCTCCCAAAAGTACTGCATCTGTTGAACACCAACGCAAGAGAACTGCTGTGGCTTACCTGTCATACGTAAAATCGCCACTGTTGACTTTTTTGGTTTATTTAATAGATTTATACAGCCACTGCTCTCACAAATGCGACTCTGAGCAGCTAACAACAAAATAAAAACATTATCAATGGAGCATTTTTAAAATAAAACACCCTACAACAGTCGCCAAGTAGTAGTTCGAGAGATCAATGTGCTTAGCCAAGGATGTTTTTCTCATCCTACAATTAAAATCAAGTTTGTAAGATGTGCACATTTATTTGAGACTTTTCCAGAGAGGCCGTGGCAGAGAACATTGAGCATCTTGATTTAAATCTCCTCCTCAACTGCAAACCACAATAATTAAGTTTCCACAGCTTTTCAATCAGCGGATATAAAGACAAAAAGAAAGTAGAGTTTGGCACAAACTGTTTATTCACAATTTTTTTTAAAAAAATCCTTCCATTGGTTTAGAAGAAGAGAAAAAGCCACTGATGGAGTAGAATGAAAATGTTACTTTTGGGGGTCTAGCATAATATACAGGTAGTCCTCATTTAGCGACTGCAGTTATGACGGTGTTGAAAACTTTGCAACTGATGCTCACACTTACGACCTTCGCAGCATTTGTCACATATTCACCATTAGTCAATGAGTACGCATTGTCCTGTGTAAAATCATAAGTACAGTTGTGGTGATGGGATTTTTCACTTAGCGACCGCTTTGTTTAATGACTAAGTTGCCGGTCCCAATTGTGGTTGCAAAACAAGAACCACCTGTATTACTAATCAGTAGTATTTTTTTATTCTTCATCACACCTACTACTTCATACCAGACAAACATTGCAACCTTATTATTACCAAATAAACCCATTTTTTAAAATTTGCTTAACGTACTTGCCTGTGGGAAAAAAAGCCCACA